TTTATTTAATATAAAAAAATTATAAAGATTAATTAAAATTTGAATAATTTTTATTAGAAGCAATTATTAATTTTTATTTAACAATAATAAAAAAACATGTATACATCAGCTATGACACATTTTAATATCATGTGTTAAATAATTAATTATTAGATCCATAGCATCATGATTCCAAGTACTCTCCATTATTATTTTATTATTTTGTATATTAGATAATCTTTTAAAATAATACTTAAAAAATAATAAAAGTGAAAAAAGAAAATATGAATGTGAATCGCAAAAAATAAATACAAACATTTTTAATATTAAATCTCATCATCTTTCAGAATGATCTTCTCTATATACTCTTCAAATTCCCACAGAATTTCTAGCAAAGATAATTCTTTATCAACTTGCTTCTATAAATCTCTTAATCAGAGGATTGATTCTATTATCTGCGTGTATCTAAAATTCCAGATAATAATATATCATCATTCTCTAGATTGGTAAATTCCAACCAATTTTGATATACTGAATTAGATGATCCTTAGAATCTAAAGATCCAAATAATCCATCAAAATTCTCAATTAATTGAGTAAGATTTTTATCATCATGAAATTTCTCAAAATTATTTAAATCATTTTTTGCAGATCAAATCCAGATAGGCTAATAATTTTTTCCAAGATAGATGTCAATTCAATACCTGTTTGAGTTGAGGCATTTGATGAAGAGGTAGGTGGTACTTGATTATGTGATACTTCATCCAAGATTAAGAGAAAATGTTTAAATAGAATCATAAAAAGACCTTTCAATTGCTGCCTTTGCAACTTCATTTTCAATAGAATAGTGAAACTATTTTATTATAATGTGGTGATGGTGAATAATTTATCATCTTTCAATAAATTTAATATTAACTTACATTTTTAATAGATTCTAAAGCATTTTGAATTGTGTCTTTCGGGTTGTAGATATCAGTGTATTTATTTACACCATTTTGATAGACTTCATTTTTCAAGAACTCGAGAAAGTCTTCTATATCATTAGTAATTTTTACTGACGCAAATTTTCACCAGAAATTTTTTATAGATTCTAATTGCTATCAAAATACAAGTTATTATTGTTAATATATATTAAATTAAATTTAATAAAAATGAAGTTTATATACCCTTTGAATTCTGAGATTATCAGTTATTTTGTGATGATTGTTTGCAAATCTTCATAATTGCTTACATATCCATGAGCAAAAGCAATTAGAATAAATTTGTAAATTTTCAGAGTTTACTATTAATGATTTTTATGATTGGGTAAGGGTAACGGTTAGGGTAGAGGACAAGATTATTTGTAAAATTGCTGTCCCGACAATTTTTAATTAGTATCCCAAGACAGATTTAGGCATTAGTTTTCGAGTAATATTCATTTTTCATATCTTGTGTCGGATTTGTTTTGCCGGGTTGATCAAAAAATTTGCGCACCCCTATTATTGGACATATGGATCACATGATGGACTACGCTTTTACTGCTCCCACATTTTAAGACAATTTTGTAGATCGGAATTTTTGCTTTTATTTATTTTGTCATAAATGTGTCTGCTAGTTCTTAAAAATGTGTTTCTAAATGCAAAACCAAGACCAATGAAAATGTCTATCTTTGAAAAAAAAATGCTCGCAAAAAAAAAATTAGGTGAAAAGAGCTATTATATGGTTACCCGAAATATACCCTAGCAATCTGATAATAATACCGGATCCAATCTCTGATAAAAATGTTCACAACTAGAATAAATCAAGAATTGATATAATATTATTGCTCACAACTATATATTAATTATTGTATTGTTATTTATGCAATGATTGATTAAGATAAATGTTTATGCACAGTGAAACAAGAAATCAGGTACAAATTATAAATTAGATCCGCAATTCATGCGATAAAATTGGTATGATGAATCATTCATTTAGATTCAACGCGCGTAGAATATTCAACGTCAAGCAAATCGTCACAACCGCGAATCCATACGCTGCCAAACATACCGATAAAATCTTTTTCTTTGTCCATGCGTGTTCCTCGTGGATTTTGTAATAGAATATTCCGGGAAGGATGAATGAGATTGTTGTTGATCCGGTGGATCCAACGAAGGCTAAAACCTGAAATCGTAAAAATTATGAATTTTCATCTTTTGCAGTTTCCGAAAATCTATGCTTGGAATATTCTTGTTATCCTTCTTACCAGATCTAATTGGGAGACAACCATTGCAATCAGGTAACTCGATACCAAGATCCCTGTTGTCATTAAAATATATTTTTGATGTGAAGTTGTTGGTGGAACTTTGTCTCGTTGCACATTCAATAAATTTTCAGTGCTGTTGACATTGCTAGATTGACGCCATCCGGAACAAGATGAAATTATTTTATCCAAACAAGCACGACATGGATGTGCTTGAAGGGGATAAGTGAATAAAACGTGAATCACGATGGCCACTCGACCAATTGTTACAATCATGTTCGTTTTATCTATTGAACGATGACGGTGATATTAGAAATTGTTTGTGCAATTAGAGAATGGTTCCTTTCCGCCGAATAAAAAAAATATGCAAAAGTTTTCTTTCTTACATTGTGTAATGATATTCGGAAAGACATCATCTCCAAAAGACAAATATCCCATGATTCCGATAAACTGATAAATTATAGACGATGTTCCGATCGCGCCAACTATCACACTATTTATTCTATGCTGACTATTGTCGAAGAGTTCATTGTAGATGGTAAAGATCTAAATCAGAAATAGATAGATAGATATATGAGCAAAAGACCATAATATAACCGCATTCCAAAAAAATTAATTGCATTACATTTTGATGACAGGTAAAAGCAAACACGAATAACGGTAGATGCGTGAAAAACTTTGTTGAAAATCTCACTAAATGAATTTTTTCTTTGGGGGGTGCTTCAAAATCGGGACCGAGATAGTTATAGACTACAATAAATGAGAGATATATAACCGCAATTACTCCCAATAAACTCGTGTATCGTAGCGAATCCAATCGTTTCAAAAAGGCTAAGGGAACAATAACAATCATGGATAGAGTTATCCAGAGTCGGCGATCTAAAAAGATTGAATACTCATCCCCGCCTAGAAGTTTTTCCCCAACCGCTTGAACCACTTGTGGCATCAAATCACCAATTATAATAAGATACGAAATACTAACACCAAAGCATTTGGTCGCAATCGCTAGATCAAACCAAAGAGCCGCGCTCGGATAAGTCAATTTCGAGACAGCAAAGAAAGATGATTGTCTTCCTTCCGTGCGTGAAGCTGCGCGCGACAAAAAATATAATCCTAATCCCGAAGCGAAAGCCGAGAAAACAATCATGAAACTGCCTAATATTATACCAACTGAGGCTATAGCAGCCGGCTTTTTTAGTTTCATGATAATCAAAACGTCGGAAATTTTTGATTATGAATCCGTAAAGTTTATTGATGAGCTTACTTTTACAAATCAAGTCACAACGAATCTTTGATGAAATAGGAGGAGTACAATTACCATAGCCAGCATACCGGTACCAAGTATAGTGTTGGCAAGATTAATCTAAAAAATTTCACAATTTCATATGTTTAAAGTGACAAACGAAAATCTTGTCGGATAATGTATTGACAATATGCAAATCAAAGTGTAGAAACGCAAGTTTTATGGTTGGATTTGTCTTGGAGAAATAAAAATTCCAGGGTGAGATAAGCACGTACCGCGCAGGAAAAATAGCTAGCCGTTGCAAGAGGGTTGTTGAGGTCTTCTTCCACTTCAATCACTTGGTCACTCAGTAACGGATCTTGATCTAAAGAACCAATTACTGAAGGATTACCAACTGTAGTAAATGGAGGTGTCGGTTCCTCATCGCTTATTGCCGAGTATTTGGTCATATTTCTTTTCTATTTGAGTTGAAAATATGACGTAAAATAAGGAGTGAAAGGAAGGTATTCCCCGTCAGGACTCTGATTTAAACAATATCGATAAATGGTATTCGCGATTTACATTAATAGTAATACAAAAGATCAGCGTGGTAAAAATGCGCAGTCGCTGATGATCGTCGGAAAGAAAATCACATTATTTCCAATCCCATTGTCCTAACGAAAATTGAACACTAAATATGCCGGTAAGATAATTAATTTATTCTTTGTCTGGCGATTTTCGTTTGGCAAAACTTTTCTTATATATTATTTGAGTATTTTCATTTTAGGCTTATCATTCCCAATTCAATGACGCTACTGAATGCCGAGTCTTGGGTAACATGGCTCTGTTGCCTATTAAAACAAAAATAAGAGGACCCGCGCCACCTGGTAAGTTAACTATCAAGTAAAATTTCTATTTCATCCAAGAACATCTGGGATCCATTATTTTGATTTTCTATTAATTAGTCACTATTATCTACTTGAACTCAAATCAGCTCTAGCAGATCAAAAAGATATCGTTGATGAATCACTAGATTTATTTCGAGCGAATTGTCTTTTTCGTAACTTTGAAATAAAGGGGAACGCAGATCGTGTACTCATATACTTGATTCTTTTCATCTCGGATTGTCTTGCCAGACTGGCGAAAAGTCCACCACCATCACAGAAAGAAGCCGTGAAAATTTTGAGTACTCGCGCGATAGATCATTTCGCTCTTCCCGGGGAACCTACTTTTCCTCTGAATGCTTTGTATGCGACACCGGCTAATAAAGGGGACACTGGTTCGTGTTGAATTTATCAAAGACATACACACATTGCACTAGAATACATACAAGAAGATTAATGTCTTCCTTTTTGTTTTTTGATACTAGATTTACTTCGTCAATATATGTCACAACTTCGACAAGAACTGGCCTTAAGATTGGTAGACAGGGTGTATCTGGATGGGAAACCGAGCAAGTGGTGGATGTGCTTTCAGAAAAGAAAATTTATGAATAAATCCTTGTAATAAAATAATTTATTTAAAGTTAAATAATCATTTTATTTATTAATTATAGATCTTTGATGATATTTCCTTAATATCTCTTTTGTGATATGTTGATGATAATACAAAATTTGTGTATGTACATGCCTATCTATAAGTAACAGTTTATAGTATGTTGCTGCTGTTGCTTCTCATCGTGAGTTCGATGACACCAAGGTGGTATTATGTATGAAACTAGAAGAATGGGAAAATAGATCATGTTGGTGGTGATATTGAAGGTTCAATAATAGAATTATTCCCATAATCATCATCACCACCATCACCATCATCATTATTTTTATAGCCTGAATCATTCTTTTCGGAATTTTCATTTTCATTGTTATCATTTTTATTTTTACTATTATTAATTGTAACAGTAATATGTTCATATCCAGGAATAATAATTAGATCCTTTGGTACCAGCCCATAAACGATCGATAATTTAAGGAATCGAACGTAAAGAAAGGTTTCATTCTACGAGGAGATAAATTCAAGGTTTAATTCAATAACTAACCATACGTGAGAAAGTGATCTTTACACTTGCCTCAAACGACTCGAATATCTCTCGATGATGAAAATACGCGTGCGCGAATATTCGGTAGAGTCGCCTGGCGATTTGTTGGAAATGTTTCAGTGATGATGGAGGAATGGATATCCTGACGAGAATGATGTAAATGCATTGATTATCACACGTCAGGCTATAATAAGATAGCAAGCAGATCAATAGATTTTCTTTTTTGCTGCGATGATTACCTGCTAGGAAAATATCGGTGACTATTAAGTAAAGTTGTTGCCGCATCCAACGTATGGACTATATAATCAATAGCACAGCACTAGATAAAACGAGGTAATTTATAAGATGCGGGAAATGTGTTAAACAGCCCAACATAAAAATCATAATAAAACTCTACGTACCCCTATTTGTGCTTGATGCATCGCACATAAATACATCCAGTTAATCACCTTCATCTCCGGGCATGTCTCACGTGTACATTCAGTCGACAACTGAACCACAAGAAAAGTTAATTCTAAACAAAATTGCCTGTCATCGAGAAAATAAAAGCATGAATTACTTTTATGATCGTGAATCAACGGGGCTAATAAGCCGTCAACCCACCTCAAATGCTCGTACTGCCAGGATTCTTTGTCTTGTTTGGGGGGAAGATTCACAAGTGCATCAATATTCTCTTTATCGGTCCGAACCAGCGATTGTATGTATTCTTGTAATGCGAAAGCGGAGTCTAATTCTTCTAGGGATATATGGGGATTTTGGTAAGCATTCTACATATAAAAATAGGAACATGAATGAACAAGTTTCACCAATAAATTTCCTATACTTAAAGCTTAAACTTATATAATAGATTGATTCTCTGTATATAATTGTAAAGTACACGCACGCGTGTTTTAAAAAAAAAATACCTCGAGTTTTGTTCCAGGTCGATTTCGTCGTAACATTTTGGTATTTTTACTTGATTTATCGGAGGAGGTTATAGTGGACGAAGAATCATTAGAGGCCATCTTTTCCATTGAGATGGACGCATTAAGTAACTTTAGATTACAAGTCAAGTTGGAAGGTGAGTTTACCACGTCTGCCATTTTAAGAAGCTTTTTTAGGTTGAGAAACGTGTTACTCTCATACTCACGCATCCAGATCAAAAATTCATTTTCATGTGATGCAGTGATGCAATACCGTTCTCAACCAAAAATGCCAGAAATGCGGCGAGTCAAATAGTAAAATACATGGAGGGTTTTTCGTATTCTCTTGCATTTCCTCCCGAGAGAAAGGATTCTAGCATTAATTCTAGCACGCCTCTGTTATCGCCTAACTCTTCAAGCATTAAAAGTGACCATGCAGCTTCCTCGCTCCGTTGGAAAATATTATTTGGCTTCTCACTTCTCTCGTTTTCGTCTGCCTGCCTATGGATCACATTTGCTCCCTGCCTTTTTATATTCATGTCACATTACGGACACATAACGCCCTCATATATCAATTCACTCTCGACCATCTACATGTTTATATACCCGTTTCTTTTGCTTCCTTCTATAAAAATTTTTGATATTTATGGGTTACGATACGGGGTACTCTTGGGAGCTTTCTTGAATGCATTCGGTGCAATGCTACGGTTCCTTGGTGCATTTGGACCCTCAGGATTTTGGTGTCTGTTTATGGGTCAGGCATTCGCTGCTGCAGCAAACGTCTTTATTATTGGTGTTCCTCCGAAACTGGCCAATCTCTGGTTTCAAATTGGAGAACAGAACATAGCAATCTCAGTAGGTGTCGTGGCGAATAATGCGGGCATCGCTGCTGGGTAAATATAAAATTAAAACACTTGAGGTATGATTTTTGTTGAATTAGCTCTATTCCTTGGTTTTGTAATTTTTTTTATTATGTATTCGTATTTCTTCATACAGGTTCATCTTATCGCCTTATATGATTAAAGAAGAGACTGCAAAATCGGACATACCCGAATATATGTTATTACAATTCGGTGCGTGCGTTTTAATCTACGCGTTTTTGGTATTGACTTTTAAATCTTTGCCAACTAACACAACTAATAGTAGAGACGATATGCCTAGTAAGAACAGGTAAATTTGATCATATCCAATGAGTTAACTCAAAATTTTACTTAATGCTGACTTTGATTTTATTAGCATTGTTATAGAAGAAGAGAGACGTCCACATCAGATCAGGATAACCTCATCATCTACCATAAAAATATATTTGACAAATTTGCCATTTCTTTTACTTTCGATATCGTTCGGAATTATAATCGGTGCGCAATACGCGGTCAGTACTTTACTTGCGCAGATGGTTGTCCCGGTATTTAGCACATTTGATGAAGTAGGTATTTTTCTCTCTTTTGTATTGAACACGTAACCGTGTATCAGTCAATAATTTTGAAAATTTGATTCGAAAAATTATTAATCTATTGAATGGTGATTTTTTATAAAAATTTTGACAGTCTCAAGTTGGTTTACTTGGTTTCTTAATAGTGATAGCCGGCATAATCGGAGCGTTACTAATAGGATTCTATCTCGACTATTCATTCGCGTATAGAAATTCATGTCGTTTTTTGTATATTAGTGCCACTATTTCGTTGGCGTTATTTAATGTTGGACTGGGTTTTCAATCTTTGAAATTGGTATTTCTGGGAAGGTAGGTAGAAGTTGCAGTAAAATTATTATTATGGATCTTGTTGATATTTGCATATTAATATGATTATTATTAATGCATATAGCATATGCTTTGGAATATTTACTTTTGGTAAGTTTCCGGCATTGATTACATGTTTAGAATTTATGTAAAATTAATTTGTCTTAATCGACATTCAGCAATTACACCCGCAGTCTTTCAATTCGTAACAACCATTAAACTCTCCGATAACCAGATAAAAGACGAAATCACCACCACCGGTATTCTCAATTCCGTGGTTCAAGTGTGGGGAATCATTTTGGTGGCAGTGATGGATGCAATGGAGAACTATAATGAAAAGTTTACCATGAGAATAGCAAATTGGGGTCTATTTATGGTATTGATTATTGGGATTTGGTTGTTATGGTTAGTGGAAGGAGAGAATGAAGATCATGACACTGGAACTGATGAAGCGAATCATGCTTAAATCATAATTTATATAGATTACTTGACATGAGTGTAAATATCATCTATTGAGAGTTGTATTAATAAAAAAAAATAAAAAATGTTCAACCAAAATTGGGGTTCTCGACTACTTTTTTTTCCTACGAGGTGCCGCTATTTTTCTCTGAATATTTTGAATATTTAAATTACTCGAGCTTGCATTTGAAAATTGAGAATTTGAAAACGTAAA